AGGAGCCGGGCACCATGAGCGATCTAAATCCCCAGTCTTCAAGGTATTTTGAAAGGCCCCTGCCTTACCCGAGCTCTAGGCAGCTGTGGGAAAAAACACCACATAAAGAGCTGTTTTCTCTTCTCAGGCCCCCAGGACAAAAAAGAAAAAGCATAATGTCATTGGTTATACTACTACTCATAACGTGTGCTGCCCTCCCCTGGAGGAGACTGTATTTCTCTGTCCTACTGATGTCAGAGTTGGCCACACAGCCCGAGGTGTCTAACTCAGTGTGAGAGGCAGTCCGGGAGCTAGTGCGTGATTCACCATCTCTTTTCCCTTTCCCAGAAGACCAACGATGTTCTAGACGGGGACAGCTCTAGCTCCTTGGGACTGAGTACAAACGAGATGGAGCACAGGAACAGCTTGTTAGGGCGGATGTGTAGTGCTCTGGCTTGGACAAGTGTCCCCCAAAGACCCATGTATTAAAGGCTTGAGCCCCAGACAGACGCCACTGGGGTGTGATACAGCCTTTAGAAGGTGAGGCCTAGGGGCAGTCCTTGGGTCCCTGAGGGAAGGTGCCCTGCAGAAGCCTATGGGAGTCCAGCCTCCTCCTCTTTCACTCTACTCCCTGGCAGTGGGTTGAGCAGTTTTTCTCTCAGCAAGATGCAGGCCCAGAGCCCCTGCTAGGGCCAGTGATGGTGAACCAGAACCTCAAAGCTGTGAGCCAAAGCCATTGTTTCCTCTTTACAACTTCATGACCTCCAATGTTTGTCCTAGTAATGGAAAGCTAGCCAAACATGTAGCACGAATAAGGGGAGAGAAAGCCTCTGAGATTCATAGACATTTGTAGCTAGAGTACAACTTCTTTATCCTGATGCAGAAATTGCTATCTGAAGTGTTGTGCCAGCCTAACCAAAATCCATTCATTCGATTTGGAAGCAAATGACAAGAAAGTTGCTACTCAAAGCTGGCTGGACGTGGTCTATAGGGTGGAGTGCGTGCAGTGAGACCATGGCCTGCATCAACTCGAAGGCGGGCCATGGGCTGAATGAGCTCCAGGCTTGAAGTGAAGCGCTCAAACATCAGAATGCTGACAGAATGCCGGTTACTGTGAGCTGTGTTTCACAACGTCCTAAAGAAAGAAGTGAGCTCATGAAGAACTGGGCCAGGCATGAGGATGTAGCTCCGCAGCAGAGCATTGTATAGCGTGGCAAAGGGCTTAGGGTCCATCCTCACCACCACCATGAAAAAAAAAAGCAACAGCAGTCCAAGCCCAGGCACAGTGTGGGTGAGACCCTCTTCCACTGCCTTGGGACCCCCCTACCACTCTGCAGTCCCCCCACCATGTCCGCTGAGTGAGAACTTCTGCTGCGTTCTCGGGACCCCCAGATCCAGCCCTAGCCCAGGCCCGGTAAGTGTGTGGGAGAGCTGCCTCTCCCCCTACTCCACCTTGTCCCCTTCAGACTCAGCTCAGGCTTGGCATACGGGCCTGGGGTGAAACTCTGGAGCTGCAGTTCCTGCACAGAGAGTAGGGGACAGAACCACCCAGCTAGTCCAGGAGCAGAACATCTTGCAAGAGGGGCACAACTGGGTCACTCCCAAGGGTGGTAGCAGGAAGGAGCTGAGCACAGCAGCCAGACCCAAGCCAGGAACAGTTGGATAAATTCAAACTTTGTAGATCTACACCTGAACTTCAGTAGGTGCTAAGGTTATAACTGCACCAAAGGTCTACAACAAAGGTCAGAAGACAGTGCTATACAAAATGACAAAGAGAAGGAGCATAATGCAATCTCAGAAC